AAATTAGTCCTATATTGAAAAACTAAATAATTAAATTTCTAATTTAAAAAATTTTTTGCTTGATCTTTTAGTTATTTCGGGTACAGCTAAATATTCATTAATACCGGTGCTTCAATATATTTACTTATCCGTATAAAATTTTATGACTGCAAATGTCATGAATTGAATTTCAATCCTGCCAAATTTGCAACATAGATTGGATAACTGAGCCAACGTCTTACTTGATATATGTTGATTCAACTTGAAATTGTTGTTGCTTTATGGACAATTTGCTTAGTGGGTTACTTTTAGAACAAAACCATAAGATAATTTATATAGGGTAAATAACTGACAATAGCGTGACCATAAAACAAGAAATCACACGTCCCGGAAAATTGGTGTGAAACGAGCCCAAAAAAGACATGACACACGACTGAGTTTAGTTGAAATTATACATCTTCCAAATCCATACCTTCAATTTCACAACATATGGTTGTAATCAGAATTGAGAATTTGAGCCACATCTCTGTCATTTTCAAAAAAAATACGACCGTACCAGATCTTTAGATTAAAAGTCACACTATATAGTAAGTTTATGTGAACGCAATTGTCGTTTGATACTTATATGTGAATCTTAGTTGCCCTAGATTCTATAATTGCATTTGTTGACATATTAGCCAAAGAAATCACTATTATCACTATACCACTATTAGAATATCAAACCTGAAACACAATGCGTAATTTATTGGATAGTAGGTTTGCTTGATCTATGTCACTGCTATAGTGTTGTCAAATGAGGATTACGATATGGATAACCCTATATAGTCAATCAAATCAACAGTTTATATCGGCTTGAGTTTCTCAGTTTCACTTGAGTTAATCCTTCAAATTTTAAAATAGAATAATTTGAACTAATTTAAAAATTGAACTTGAAGACATGCCAGTATAATTCAAATAAATATTAAATATCTCACATAGAGTATTGTTATCTAGATAAATATTCCATTTGAAAGAATTTGACTGGTCTTTGTTTGGATGGATTCTATGCTGAGTATTAAAAAACATGTTTATTTAACAAATTAAAAATAAAAGAATTATATCATTAATAATTGTATTCGAACTGAAATTCAAATTTTAGCGCAACGACGACACATTTGTTCATATACTCGTATCTATAGTACAAATTCTTCACAACCCCATAACTTGTCAGTGAATTCGATATAAATTTAAGTCTCACTTCTAAATCATTTATCATCAATGGCGGTTTCTCATTTGCAGTCGTCGTACAAAGTGAATTATTATTAGTCAATATCTCATTGATTATTTGTACATGAACAACCGTAAATTGCGGTAGCACCTCGATGCATTCAGAGTTGGTGCATTGTGGCAGTTTTGTCCAAGTTGCCTCCACTTTGCTACTTCGGTTGGCGTGCAGCTTAGTTATTGTAGTTGCACTCACGAATGATTGATCGTTGAAAGCTGCTCCAATGACAAGTACCAATCGATTTATTGGCTTCATTTGTATGTGACTTGGTTGTCTATGAGGTGCGCATTATTGCAGTTGAAATGTGGCGTTGCAAGTACGGAATGATCTTTATGGATACAACGAAATAGTGCCATTAATGGTAATTGAGTTGTTTTGTGGGTGGCTAGGATATTTCAATGCTATTAAATTAATTTTAAGTGGACTATGGTGAAAGGCTTTTTATGGAGGAGCTTAGATATTATACGTAGTTAATGGAAATGCTATTTGCGTAATTATTTCTGAGGAGAAAAAAGTCATCATTGTTGAATTATATTGTTCAGGATAAATAAATTGTTGACATCACAAATGTTTACCGAATGATTAAAGAGTACTTGTGACGTCTTTTTAAATTAATCAAATCGGTTTCAAGATATGAAATTAAATTTCAAACAACTACTATAGTTACCAGACGGCTTACCAGATGGTACTATATCAGACCTATTGCAATCTAAATTCATACTCTTTATAAAAACAAATCACTTCAATTGCAAAAGACAATAACGTATGTATGTAGACTTGCTTGGGGTCCGCTCTAGCTGTCATATAAGAAACTATCCTATATGAGAAACAGTATCAAAACTTTTATCGATAATACTATATCTAGTAAAATGAATAAGCTGTAACTTAAGATACTAAATCATTGACAATCATACCCTAAAAGCCTGGTCTGAAAATCTGCAAAATATATTTTTAAACAAATTTATATACATGAGCACTTCAGCTCATTCAGTTTACTTATGCTTTTAAGCTCGATTAACAGATTTTAGACAAATAAGTTATAGGTAGGACAATTCCAGATTTACTCGTAAGAATCTGTTCAGCTGTGTAATTCTGCAGAACGAAGCGTTATTATGGAATTGATTATGAATTGTTGGAATCTAATTGATAATTAGATAACAGCCCCAAAACATAGATATTCTATGTTTTAGATAGACGTTAAGGTAAACACATTGGATTAGATAACAGTAAAGCTGCAGACGAACTCTGAAGAACTGATTCAGGTATGCAGTTCTATGGATCAAAGCTTTACTATAGCGTTATTTACCAAACAACATAATGTTAGAGTGATGTTTGAAAAAGAATAAAATATTGTTTATTCAATATTGGCACAATATTTCAGATAACTACTAAATTGAACACACAAGAGATATTGGTAGTGAAGTTGTGAATAAAGAATCTGTTCAGTTATACTTTATGGGTTCTATAAATTCTTTCTAAGGAATTCTAAGGAAACAGTGGTAGGTCCGTAGTAATCTCTTTCCCGTAATAAGTAATTATTCACCGTTTTACTACCATATTAATAGCGAGAAAACGAGAGAGAGAGAGAGAGAACTAGTTTCATTTTATTGAATTTGTGAAATTTAACAAATTTTTGGTCTTTACCGATGAATTTTTCACTAGAAAAACTGTTTTTTCTGGAAACCTGAACTAGATAAGTACTGGAAAAATACTTGATTGTCTCTTTTAATCTATTTTAATTTACTCTGATAATACCAACACCAAAGCAATATTCTTTATAAGACTCATATAGAGGTATCAAGATTTCTACTACCCGAGAGTTATAACAATATAATATAATATATGATTCATATGGTCTCCAACATCTCTAATACTTGACAAATTTTGACCTCATATGCTTATATGAAATAAAACACATAATTATATATATTAGTTTGTTTTTTGAAATTTTTTATTATGTTAAAATTATATTAAGAAAATTCCGTTTTATTTCTATTACATTTATACATAAATAATTACAAAATTGAAATTATAAGTAAAATTAACAAATTTAATATTTAAAAATAATTATGTGTACATATTTTTAGTTTATCTACAAAAAATAAAAACATATATAAGTATATATATATATAAGTTAGTGAAAAAATCTTACAAAGAAGGGAAAATATATTTTAAATATTAATTATATTTCATTTGTATGTATTAAGTTTTGATTGCTATATAGGTAGTTAACTGAAGCTTTAAGTATTAAGTATTTTATTTATATTATTTATTTTTTAAATTATTAGAAAGTAAATAATAAATGAATTTATTAAAAATAAATAAATTATATATTAAAAAAAATAAAATTATTTAAAAATATATTACAAATTTTTATTATAGTTACAAATAAAAAAAAAATTTTTTTTAATCTCTTCTATATTAAACTGTTTCTGTTTCTGTTTTGTTTTTAATTTTAATTTTTTTTTTTATATATTAATTAAATTATTTTTTGTTGCCCAAGTAACACATAAAATGCGCGTGTAAGTTTTCTTGTAGCTTTGAAATTTTTATATTTAATTTTAATATATATATATAATTTCATATTTTTTTTTTCATTTGCTTTATTTTACAAATTTATGTAGAAATTTTTTTTTTATAATTTTTTAATTTCCTAAAGCGTTTTAATTTTTAGATTTACATTATATACCTTTTAATTTTTTTAATATATAATTTGTAAAGATGTTTAGCATTGTTTTAAATTTTAATATTTTTCAGTATTTTTATAGTAGATTGTTGCATTTTTATTTGGTTTACTAATTTTGCTCTAAATTATATTATATAATAATATAAATATTCGAGAAACATTTTATATATTTAAGTAGTCAATCAGTAGATACAGCATATATTTATTTTTAAATATATATATATATATATTTATTTATTTCTATTATTTTGTTTATAGAAAATATTTTGTAACAATTTTCTTTCTATTTTATTATATATAATATTTTAGTTTTTGGTGTTTGCCGCAATTTCATAAAAATTTTTTTTGCACATATACACAATATATGCACTCACTATTCATTTAAACATTTTCACTAAAATTTAAAAATACTTGCTTGATTTTTAAAATATTTTTTAATATTTTTAATTTGCTTTTCTTGCAAAAACAAAAAAAAAAACAATTTTCTTAATACTTTATTAATTCGTTTACAATAGGATTTTTTTTATAAATTATTTTTATATTTAATAATTGTTTTTTTTTTTTTTATTTGTAATTTTAAAGATGCGCTATAAATTTCTGAGTAAATTTTAATAATCTTCTGCCATATTCAAAATGCTTGTTTTTAAATTTAATAATTATTTTTTGATATAATTTTTTTATTTGGAAGTGATTTTGTGTGCGATATTGTTTTCTTAATTTCGTTAATTTTTTTTTCTATAATTAAAAAAGTAATTTTGCCGTAATAACAATTAAAAAATATTTTCTGATATATATTTAGTTTCTATGCATATTTAATGTCTCTCATATCCATATATGTTATATATACCATATATATATGTATGTATATATATAATTACGTTTTGTATTTAATTTAAATATATTCAAGTTCAAATTCAAACGTTTTCATTCTTAAATTGCTTTTGATACAAAATTTTTTTCGATTTAATTTTTTTTTTGTTTAATTTTAATGCAAATATTTTTATATAGAAATCAACATGCAAAAAGTCGTTTTATGCTATATAAGAAAACTTTGGTGTGATGTATTTTTATATATTTAATTTATTTTGTATTTTTGTATATTAGTTATAAATTACAATTTAACAGGCGTAGAACTCAATTGTTATTGTCTTTTATTTAAGATTATAAGTCTGTTCCTTTCTTTTAAATATAAGTAATTATATATCTTAAGCAGCATTTTTATATTTTACAAATTCATTTTAAGCAAATCTATTACTTTTTTTTTTTTAATAATATTGTTGTCCGTACAATGTGGTTTTGGTCTTGGCTAAGCTTTGCAGTGTTGTTTTAGTGCAGTTGCAACTTTTAAGCAGTTGTCGCTATAGAGTAATACGTCTATTAAGAGCTGCATAAAAAAGAGTTTAAGACAATATTTAGTATAGAAAATTTTGCATTTGCATAATAGACACTATATCTATAGACATCTACGATAATACGATAATAGTTAGTATAAAAAATAGTGTAACTTCAGAGCAGCGCTGACCAAAGCACGGCACGCGGGCCGCACGGACATAATGCACTAGTAAACTACATTATTTTATATTTACACCAAATAGAAGAATTTTATTTAATAAATTAATAAAACTTAATTTAACATTACAACCGTATTATTATTTTTGTCTAAAAAACTATGAACGTATGTATTTGTTTTTGTGGCCCTCCAATCTGTACACTGATTTGTTTTGGTCCGCGATCTCAACTGGTCTGGATAAGCCTGCTTTGGAGTAATTGCATTTGAAAGACGTACTGCGAAGTTTACAACCGTAAACTAAGCTTAAAAGCTGACTTAACTATGAATTAAGTCAACTAAATATATTATATAAGCATGATCATAATGCATGGTGATCACAGTCGCAACTTAAGTTTTAAAATTTCATTAAGTATAAATTAACCTATTAAAGTTCATGACCTAAAGATGATTTAAGTCCATATTGAGACTTAAGTAACTTCTTCTGAGTTTTGACTTTCCAAACCATTCACAGAACGGTTTCCACATCACATTCTAAAGGACATAAAAGGCTAGTTATAAGGTTTGAAGTTAGGGAAGTAAGTTTCAAAACATATTTTCATGTTGAGGTCTGTAAAATGTAGAATAAATATTCATAAACAAAATTATTTCAACACTTCATTTAAAAAAAATATATATTGTTTGCATAAATATTATGGGTGCTATATTTCGATAAATCAAAATCAATTTTTTAAATATTGTCTCAGGGAATTTTGCAGCGAGACCAATAGATTTAATGGGCTCTCGAAACGTGAATTCAAAAATAAAATAAAAATTTAGATCTTTTTAAAATAGAACACTACTAAAAAGATATGTAAAATAATTTCAGAATCTATAATATTATTAATCACTGGTAGTATATTGGTATTGGTTGTATAAATCTACTAATATACATTTCTTTTAATAAATACTTTCGACATTTTTTTTGTGAAAAATATTTTCGAACGAAAAGCTAGATGTTAAATTGTTTAAGTAGGTTGTTTTTGTTAATTCTGGCTATTATTTTACACAATTATTTTGTTTTATTTTTCTCAATTTTAAAATTCGATCAATGAAATATTTTCGAAATTTTGTATTATTGGTCTACACTGGGTCGGTTTTTGGTAGATTTTTGCATACACTCTTACTTTTTCACTGACATAAATTTTTCTTTGTAGCAAAATTCGAAAATAATTCTTATTTGTTTTCGAATAGAAATTTTTTCAACTTGCAATTTTTTTCATATATCCAGCTAGCTACATCACTACGAAAGTCGTGTTGTTTATGCACACAATATATGCTTCCTCTTATACTTTTTTTAGAATGCCTAAAATTTTCGAATTTCGAAAAGTATATTTTATTTCAATTATTCTTGAAATTTTGTTCCCTGCTGACTTAAATTTAATTCAATTTTTTAATTTTATTTCAATATTCTTAATATTAAAATTCAAAAAAAGTGATAAAATTTTTTTTCGGAAATTGTTAATTGTATTCGAACATAAAAATCTTAGACCAAAGCATAGCTAGTCTAAACGCGCTAAGTTACTGCTTTTACTCGTAGGCTTGTTAACTGAGAACGCACTCACATTTTCGAATTTCGAACAACGTATTTTATAGATATGTCGTTTCTGAAATTTTCTTGACTTTATATTAAAATATATTATTCGAATTTAATGACTTAATTCCGATATTCTTAAATTTAGATTTCCAAGTTAAAAAAAAGAATAAATTATGTTCGTAAGTATATATTGGTGATGGAGTTATGTCACTTCGAAAGTAGTGCTCTGACTAATTTTATTGAATTGTATTTAATAAAGTAATTTTGTTACCAAATTTTGTTTTTAAAGTATCTTTTTTATAAAATATTATCGAATTATATTTATTCTCTACTTACCAATTCGAAGAAGGTATGCTTATATGTTCTGGTAATCTTACTACGCAAATATGTTGCCTATTTGTCTTTGACGTAGCTCAGCTCTACGTTTACGTTCCTTATTTAACTTATTTTTCGCAATTCGTATTGATTCGGGTAGAATAACCGAAGACGAAGTTGGTAAGTAGGCACTAACAATCGTAAGGCGACTGTTGCCGATGCCTTTGTAATAGTTATTGTTGTTGTGATAATTGTGAGTGCTTTTATCTACGGTATCGGTTGTTGCACCATATTGCTGCATACCAGCAATATTATCAACATCATCGTCACTTAGATCTGGATATACGCTGATGTTGTCAATGTTATCGATATCGATATCGCCAGCATTATTTCGTACATAAGTCAACTTATGAAAAGGTGTTGCTAATAATTTTTGTGTTGATTTACGTAAAGATTTTTTCGTGGTTGTGGCAACAGTAGACAGAGCTGGAAATGTTGCAATTGTACTATGATGAGCAGCATGGGATGTTGTTGGGCTTGTTGGCTGCAAACTATTAACGTTTTGTTCTGTAATTGTATTATTAGTATAGCTGTTGTTTATGTTTTTGTTAACACTTAACAAGCTATTGTTATTAGTGTTAATGTTATCAATATGTTGCTGTTGTTCTTGTTCTCGTACTCGTTGTTGTTCTTGTTGTTGTTCAATCTGTTGATGTGCTGATAAATATAATTTTTGTAACCATTTGTTATGTTTAAGGGTTGTTAAAAGTGTTGTTGTTGCTGTATTTGTTGTTGCTGTTGGTATGAAGGCTGTAGTTATTGCTTTTTGCAAATGTGTTGTAGCTGTATTAGCAACTGTTGCTACTGAAGTAGATTTGTTATGCATCTTATTGTTATGTCGTTGCAATTTATTGGATATATTGTTGTTAGGTTTACTATTCAACAGCTGTTGTTGTTGTTGGTAATTGTTATTGGTGTCATTGTTGTCTTTGTGTGTGTTACTATCTTGTGGGCCTAACATAAATTCAGGAAAAGCGAAATTGTCAAAGAAATACCCATGTTGCCAATAATCACTACTTGTTGGCATTTGTGTTGCATTAACATTTTTAGTTGCTGCAGCAGCGGTTGTTGCTAGTTCTTCTGTTGTAGATTTATGTTCAATATGATTTTTTTGCTCATCACTGTTGCCTTGTCGTTCTTGATGTGCTGTTGAGCTAAATTTGTTGTACAAATATGTTGCTAGTGTAGTTGGTGCAACTACACTTTGCAATGTTGTTGACGTTTCATTGTTAAAATTAATTTCTTCACTTAAGTCATCAATATAGTTAAATACATCCGAAAAATCATCATCAACAGTATCTGTACTGGAATTGTTGTGTGTGTTGTTGTAGTCAGCTACATCATCGCGATCAATGATTAGCGTAGTTGCAGCTGTAGCAAGTTTATCAGTGCAAGGTTCTGTAGTTTCAGTTGTCATATTACTGGTGACGTTGTAGCTGTCTTCATTACTGTCATAGTTACTGTTGGTGTCATTCTCTAAATAAGCTCTTGAGTAGAAATCATTTCCTATGTCCTGCCAAAAATTCAAATTGGTTTCTGTTGTGGTCTGCAACAAATCATCATTGTTGCTAGTATTTTGCCAGTTGTCTTGAGTACTCAAAATTGTTGTCAACAAATCTTCACTTTTGCTGAAACTTAGAGTTGATGTTGCAGGTGTGTTATTTGGAGTTACAACTGCTGCTTGTAATTTATGTTCATTGCTAATACTGCTTGTGTCTTGAGTTGTTGCTGTAGTGGGAACTGTCAATATAAATGTGTTATTATTACTAACTGTTGTTCCACCTGTACCTGTTGGAATAGGTGACGACAGCAAATCGTTTCTCAATTTATCAAATGTAGTGCTTTCCATCGATTCGGTAGCAGCAGTTGTTCCTGTGCTGTAATCAAATTCACCTGATGTCGACATGATTGCTGACGATAATAATGTGCCAAATAAATCACTTGCTGTTGCAGTTGCAGTTGCTGTTGATGAGTTGCTGACTTCTAATGAGATTGCTGTTGGTTCTAGCGACGTTGGTGTCCAATCATTGTTAGTTGTTGTGGAAAGACTATTATTGAAATCATCGAATGATGTCTGTGATATTGATGCAGTGGTGAATGCGCTCAATGCAGGCGTGGTTACGGGTTTCGGTTGCAGTTCTTTGGAATTAAGTATAAGACGTTGTTTTTGTGAGTCTTGTAAATGTTTTTTACGCGCCCGCTCGCCTTTTCTTCGCCGTCCTTTACGTTTACTTGCAATTGTTGTTGTGACAGATTTACTTGCTTTATTCGTTGCAGTTGCTGTGGGAATTGTTATTGCAACAACAGTTGTTGGTACAATGTTTATTTGCTTTTTGTTATTATTTGCTAATGTTGCAGCTGATGTTATACCAAAGGCAGTTTGGTTTTGTGTTGTTGAAGCGATTGTTGCTGTTATTGTTGGTAGTGTTGTTGTTGCGTGTTTTGCAATTGTTGTTGATTTTGTCAAAGTTGTTTGCTTAAATGTTGCATTCGTTGTGTTTAGACTAGTTTGCATGGCTTTATTACGATTGCGTTGTCGACGCTTCTGTTTGTGTTCGTGTTGCTGTCGACGCGCTATCAAATTTGGATCATTGTGATGATGCCGCACCTGATGATGCGCAACATGTTGCTGGTGCTGTACATGCTCCTTTGTGTTATTATTAATGTTAAATTGTTTGCTTAAAATTAAATTTTGCTGTTTAGTGCTACTTAAATTAGTGTTGTTGGTATTATTATAATTATTATTATTATTATTGTTGTTGTTGTTATTATTATTATTATTAGAGTTTTTAATATTAGTACTTAATTTGCTATTATGGCCATTTGAATGTTGTTGATTTTGATTATGTTTATTAATATTGCTATTGCTATTGTTGCGCATTCCATTATTTCGATTATTTTTGTTGCGTGATGCTTTTATTTTATTCGTTGCTGTTGTTGTGGTTTTTGTTCGGCTTAATGTTGTTGATGACGTTGAGTATGTTGTCGATATTAATGTTGGTGATGTGGCTTTCGATTTGGGTGCATATGTTTTAGTGTGTTGATGGAAAAATTGATCAGCAGGTATTTTTGTAAATAGATAACAAGCATCGTTGACACTCTTTTTGGGGCCAATTGGCTTACCTCGATGCGTGAAACCGACACGTCGCTGCCGATCGACTACGGAACGAAACACGAAATAACCGTGAACAATGGTTTCGTTGAAATAGCAGGTGCTTTGGCGTTCTTTCTATAGAAAAATGAAATAATGAGAACAGTTAATATAATATATCAAAAGAAATCTATTAAATAATATATGTTAAAGCTATGATTCCAAATTATAAATATATAATATCAAATTAGTGAAAAAATTTCGGTATAAATTATGTATAAATAACTATTCGGAATTTCTATAATTTCTCAATGCATAAAATGCCACAGTTTTTCTTGTGTAAGGCAGTAGCACTGCACTGCTTAAGGGTTATGTGTGACAATTAAATGTTTATACGATCACAATTTTTACCACTTTTTTGTTGCTTTCAATGTAGGTTAAAAAATTGAGAGCAACAACAAATATGGTGATCGATGATATTATAATCATCTACATAACATGACTTTTACCTTGTGAGATCTGACCCTAGTTATCTTTATTGTTACATCAGCTGTTTTTGCATTTAACCTTGCTTCACATTTTTTCCCTGAAGCTTAACCCTGTGGAAAAGGTTTTAGAATATTTCTAAGAAAAGGTATACCTATTGTAAGAAGGGAATAAAGGGGTTAGAATACTCCCGCGGTAAGGTATTCCTGTCGTAAGAGGTGACTAAAATCTAGCAGATACCAACCGAAACTGTTGGAGTATATGGTACATGGTAATGTGTGAGTTTCACTTACGGCACCTGTCCGAAGGGGATCAAGGTCCACAGCTTTAGTTGTCTTGACCAATAAATACCTTTATGTCTTGACTTTTACTGAAAGTTCCATTGTGACTGTACCGTGTATAGGGTGGTGTGACCCGAAAAATAGCAGAGGATTTAGATAGATCCCTCTCCTTCCCATGAACCTAAATTATGTATATATAATTGATATATAATATAGAATAAAATAATAACTTCAATTGGTACAGGCGGGTTCTATAAAATTTTAGTGGAAACATTTATCGATGTATTATACTGATATGTGTGTTAAGAACGCCGTGGTGTTATGGCTTTACAGCAAGCAATCACTTTAAACATCTATGGACTTTGTTGCTGTCCTTAGCCATAATCTAAATGTTTGTAGGACCTAATACAGCTGTATTCCACTCAATGAGGCCTATTTTGATGGCTCTATTACATAAAATTTGATTAATTAATGATTTATTTCTGTTTTATATTATAATCCGAATTGTATTATATAGATTGTATATGATAGTGTAAGATATATATACGAAAAAAATCCACATCAAATAGTGAATTATTAATAGTCTTTACTTTATTAAATTGTTTTTAAAATTTATTGATTTTCTTTCCTATTCAAGATGGCACCAACATTTACTGGCACATTTCATAATCACTTAATAAATCGTTGTAAAAACCTATTTTTCTTTAATATTGGAAAAAAAAATTATGTAGTCTTGAATTTTAAAACTTCCGCCTGACACACTTTTCTGTCATTTGCATTTGTTTGTTTTTTCTTCTTCTGATTTAAAATATTTGTACTTTTTCCTTCCTCACTTGAAATGTCATGTAAAATTGAATAAAATTTGTAAACACAAAATAAAAATCAATAATAATTGACAGCGAAGTGCTGCCAGTGCATTTTTCAAACGACTTTAATGCCTACTAAGCAGTTTGTAATCCATGTTCGAACATGCATTCCGAAGGGGCGCAAGCGTACACGTGAGAAGATTTGAAAATGAGATTTCCTAGGCTTTAAATTATGTTTCCGATATACAAATAATTCCATGTATTTGCAGTGGGCAGAAGAAACTCATTGTTTATTTGGAATTAATTGTGGGTATATAATGCAGAGCAAAGGAAAGGCACTAATGTTTGTATTTGAATTGTCAGTAATACATGTAATAACTTAGTCAGAAGAGTTATATGTTATATGTATAACTTATAGAAGGTATATGCTGTTAGTGTATATATGAAATGAAAACAAAATTAGTTTATAATGTTAATTTTTTCTTGCCGAGAGTGACGCGTCTTTACGATGAAAAGAAACTATTTAAAACTTAGACGGATTCAAATAGTAAAGAAAAGACAAGAACAAAAGTTTAGTTGAATTATTGAAATTTGGCTGACCATACAAGGTTATTTCGAATATTGCCAAGTAGTCATCATCAGTATTCTTAAGAAATATTTGAATTTCTTAATTAATTTATAGTCCGCATACAATTTGTTCGGACTGTAAGTGCCAGACTAATGTTAAATTTTACTTTAATAATGTTAAAATTTGAAAACCTTTATTTATGTGATTTGTATATAATTTTTATATATACATATAGGGACTTACCATAAATATTATAAAAAATAAAAAAAGTAAACGTGCATTAATAAGTTGGTGGATCCAAACTTTCATGACAGTTGTTCGGGAAAAAATGATTGACAGGGTACCAATTCAACCCTTGGTACTTGCAGTCTCAAAAGATTATTTACGAAAATTTAAATATAAGAAATAATTTCAAGACCACAAATGTTGGGTACTTGGCAATACTCGAAACAGCTGTATGGTCAGCTAAAAATGTAATAGGGGTTTTTATATAGTTTTTTATCCGGTTATAAGTTACTCTTTGTTAAATAATTAAACGTTTGTTTAGTATTTTTCAATGTATTCTATATTTCGACTCTCTTTGAGAGTCATTATCTAACGTAAATTAAAATTACTGAAACTATATTTAAGTTATCCTCTTTATTTTATTGTCTATATTGCATTATAGTGTCTATAGTGTCACTATAGTGTCTATATTGTCTATATACCATTATAAAAAAAAGTTGGATAAATATATTCAAAATTTTATAAAAAGATATAAAAGAATTCTTGTTGTTGTTGTTGTCATTACTTTTTGAAACCTCTCTGGGAAAAAAAACTAATTTGTTTTCAATATCGACTTCTTCATAGATCAAAACTTTCGCGGTAGTTATGTAGTAAAAGACATAAAAAAAAGATTTTTTCAACAAAGTTTTATCCATTGAAGCAATATATTTGTTTTTATAATCCTAACTATTGCAATTATTAGGTTTATTAGGAAGTGTTTAGATTAAAAATACTGTCAAACCATTTAAATATAAAAAGAAAGCCCATTAGTCTATTTAAGAAATAAGAAAGAAACATTTTTAAATGTTTTTGGAATTAAATATATTCTCTTTGATAGATTAAGAAATTAAAAAATCAACAAAAAAAAAATAAATTCTTTCCTTTGCAATTGAAGTTTAAAGATTTCTTAATTATTTATAAATATTTTGACATTAACCAAAATTGACACTAAACAAATTCAAGAGTATTTATTTTTAAAACACTTGAAATTCCCAAAATGTTCTTGAGAATAAATCGAGTTCGTTTTCTACTGAAGCGCAAGCGTGTGTTTAATTCTCTCAACTCTACCAGAAAATAATAAGCAGCAAACATCTACAATAAAATCGTCAAAGAAATGGAGGCTATAGCTGGTTTTTTAGAATCTTAGATAAAATATATATATAGATGAAATATAAGACACAAACTGGTCGAACGTGTACTTCAGGACTATCTTCACAAGTATCAGTTCTCAAGGGAAAAACTTTCTTACTCATATTAAATATTAATAAAACACTTTTTATATAGAAGAGTGACAATATTTTTCAGGGAAGTAGCTAAGGGGAAGCAGAAAATGGTTAAGTATTTAAGATCAGTTCAGTTGAAAACATTTGTCTCTCCCAGTATTTCCAAAATTGGATATGAATTATAAGTGTTCAACTGACATCTGACTTTGATGCACATAATGGTGCTACTTATATTAAAGATATCTATTTTTAATCGAGTCGAAAAACTATATACTGAACTTAAATCTGAAAAAGTTAAGGAAATTGGCGAAAAAATGCTTTAATATATCTAATCTGGATACAACTAAAGACGATATACAGGACTCATAAAAAGATAGATCCAAATTCAATACTTCTGAAGTACGAAACGTACTGATCAATTATGTAGTTTTAATATTAAAAAAAAAAGTGGTTTTGTACTAAAAAATAATAGAATATTAACAAGTAGTAAAAGATATAAACATTTCTTGAGTAAATATCAGTTTAGATACCAATAAATTATACCGTACCTCAAAAACAATACTAATTTAAATAAAATTATAAACAAAACTTAAAATTCTGAAAATTAGACAAAGTTATTACATTATTCAATCAGAATAAATATTTCTTCTTGATATGGGGAAAGTGGGTAGATATGGATCGATTAAGTAGTTGTATATCTAACGAATATTGATGCGCAACGTTAAAGAATAGTCGAATCAAATGAAGAAAAATGGAATGCATGCTTTTGGAAACACTAGTTCAATAAGAACTAAATCCCAGTTCCTTAATGTGGTTACCTGTCGTGTTGGCTTAACACCACGGTGTTGTAAATACATGTATCATGATAAAGTGCCGATAAACGCCCCGTTGAAATAAACACTACTGGTAGCAATAGAAGCTATATATATAGATATAACTTTCTCCTTGTTTAGGGGCAATGTCCATCTAAACCAATTTTATACTTTAGTTCACACCATCTGGTTAAGCAATAGTTTACTCTACATCAAATGTAATAGTGTCAAGACTTCCTGCGTAACCTTAATAACCAAGCCTACAATGACACTCTCGTACAGTGTTAAACCTAGTGTCCAGAACAACCGAAGTTCTAGGATTCCGTCGTACTAGATCACTTGTCGGTTGACTCAAGTAAAATCTACTTGTATAAAATAAGTTGTTTAGTGTCTGATTACAATTATATAAATTAGGTCAATATCAATTATACCCAACAAAATATTGTCCGAAGATATAGATTCTTCGCTTTTCTGTGAAAAGATGAGTAATATAAATAAATAAAAATTCTGTCAACATTGAAATAGTTTTAGATAAAAAAAAATATATGTTTAAAAAAAAAATATTTTTAGAAATAAATTCAATTAATGATAAAAGAGGCTTGTGGTATAAACAATTATATTGACGTTAATTAGTCTTATCAGAATTATTATAATATCGTAATAAACAATTAAAATTTTTACTTTTTAGAAATATTTAA